AAATAGGAACATGCAACTACCAGACCAACATATGTAGCTATGTCGGCAAAATGTCAGCCTCTATACTGTAGTGGCTTTTCTTTCAAAGAAATTTTTCATAATTTTATACCACACACCCGTATTCAAGTACTAAACACCCTGAACGTAACTAGTTATCGACCGTTACTCACGATTACTTGTAATTTCGTCACTTGTAACGAAGTTACTTACAGTTCTGCCACTGGATGAACCTCACTTGATCTCTCATCAGAACAGGGCCGTAGCTAGACGCAATAATTGGGGGGGAGTATATTCATTTTTCCATGTTCACATACCGTAAAAATAATCGCTTTCAGAAGAAATCCGTTGGGCAGAACACGAATACATGAATATGCAGCCCCCCCGTCTAGCTACGGCCCAGCATGAGAACAGTTCAGAACAGGTATCATATGTAACAAGATAAGGGGCTCTAGCTAAACCCAATATCTCAATCAGAAGTTGCTATGCGAAGACATATTTCTTGTTTCTAATTTTTAATAATTGTAATATATATTATTGTAAGTTTTATATTTTTGTAATAATCTTAAGTCGTGTTTACACTACCAGCCTTGGCCTACATTTTGACAGTGTAAACAGACCTTGGGCCAGCCTTGGCCTGACCTAGGACAGGAAATCTGGGCTCGCTACAATCGGTGGCCTAGGCCTAGGCTTGTGGAAATGTAAACACTTTCGGCCCTGGCCTGGGCCTTATTTCCATGGCAACGTGTGCCCACAGTGAGAGATTAGCGGACAATCAGCGGACAACGTCACAGCACATAAAATACACACAATTAATTACAAAATCTAGGCCAAAGTGAGCCAGTCCCAAAAAAGCAGTGTAATGGTGTAAACGCGCCACCTTTATACCTTGGTCTGGCCAAGGCTAGGCCATGCAAAGCTATAGGCCAAGGCTTGTAGTGTAAGCACGACGTTAGATACATGAGTTGCCCAGAGAGGCATAATAAAGTTATCTTATCTCAATCACAAAATGAGACGAGGCCCTATAGACGAGAGACTGAGCACTTTCCGGAAGGGTGTATTGTTACTGATAATGCTTGCATGGTATATTTTAACTATAGGTACAGTAAAACCCCGCATAAAAGAACCAGTGGGTTAAGAGCTACCAGCCTGAAATTTGGGCAATTAAGTACCCAAAATACAGGAACCACTTCAGGCTGACAAATGAAGCTGGTTCTTAAAAAACCTTATTAAACTTTTAGCTGAATTAGTAAGCAGGTAGTATACTACCTGGAAGAAAACAAAATACTGTAATCTTGCTAGCAGGAATTATATCTTTCAGCCACATCATGCATTTATTTCATCAAAGTAATTAAATTACAGTTCATTTACTAGTTTAATTATGTACAATAAGAAGTTTAAAACTCTAAACCAGGAGCAATTTTGACTGGAAATAAGAATCAGCTAAGAACCACTTCAGCTTGATTTCTTTCTAAGTACCCGTTATATATAAGCACCACTTCAGCCTGAAGTCAAAATTCACTAGTTCTTTTATGCGGGGTTTTACTGTAACTCTACCACTTCCAAACTGTTCTCGTGAGGGATTAAGTAAGACTCATCTGCCACTAGTTTAGTGTTACTTCAGGAAGAAACAAAAATAGGAACAATCACTAGCAGACCAACATGCGTGTCGGCAATTGTATACTGTTAAGATTACACAAAGCTTTCTACTTTCAAAGAGGATATTTTTCATAATTTTACCACACACCCCGTATTGAAGTACCAAACACTCTTGTCAATGTCTGTTCAAAACAACATGTTGGTCCAGCATTATATCCTAACATTGTCAGTATGAGCTCCACCTTTGAATTTACTATATGAGTAAATTCTTAAACACGTCCGAATTTATCATTATGATAAATTCGCGGCACATTTTGAATTTATCATAATAAATTCGCGGCACCTAACACTAACCCTAATCCCAACCCTAACCACTAACCCTATAACTTTTTAACTTTTTTGAAAATCTAACTTTTTTAACACTATAACCCTAACCCCAACCCTAACCACTAACCCCTAACCCTTTTTTAAACTTTTAAAACTTCTTTAAAAACTATTTTTTCGGGGGTCTCGAGGACCTTCCCACCGCCGCGCGACCAACCTCCCTTTTAGTGCCATTACATTTATAAAAGATCTCTCACTGGTACGATTTAGAACATTGTTGCTGGACTACTACCACAACGCTGCCAAGACATCCTATGATGTAGACGATGCCAGAACGTGGAGAACAGTCTGCTTAAAATGCAACACATCACAAATACTCGTGCAACCATTAACGTGTTGCTATTAGTACATGTACACTACCAATTATCAGTTTCAATTTATATATTAGTTGTGTGTTTTCTGTATCCAAGGGCCCACAGTAATTGATTTTAAGCTGTTGTGGAGACCCCGCCTTTTTGTTGTTGTCACCTTTTTGTCCAACCTTGAAACGTGGAGGCTGGGCGTATTTGCTGCGTTTCGATATGTTTTGTCTATAGATCTATGCCAAGTCATGTTGGGCTCATAAAAATCAAGCTATTCTAAAATGAATATAATTGTAAAATTAAACCGTCCTAGGTTAGCGGTCAAGGGTGTATGTTTTTGTTTTACTATCATGTTGAAACATAGACAGGGGCGCTGAAGTTTGCTCGTTTTTGGGTTGGACAAAAATGGTTGTGTGTACGTGTTGTTTGATTGTGTAATTATAGGCGAAGCTAAATAAATAAATAAATAAATAAACAAGAAGTTTTGTCTAATGCTTGTGGTTTTATGATTAACTCTATTGATAAATTCAAAATGTGCCGCGAATTTATCATAATGATAAATTCGGACGTGTTTAAGAATTTACTCATATAGTAAATTCAAAGGTGGAGCAAATGTTGACATTGTTGATCTGTTTGAACAATTTGTTTTGTAATGTTGCGTGACTTTGAAGGACGTCAAGTTGACTTATTTCAAATGTTCATCCAACACCGTTTAACCTTCTTTGATCAAAAGTGTTGGATATTGGAACTGTGCCATCGACATTGAAGTCTGAGACAATATTATCGTCTAAAAGATATTAACTCGGTCTATGCCAGCATGCATAGGTAGCATCAAAAACACCAAAATAATGCAGCCGGATAGAATATGGATTTAAGTACCAGAAAAATACAAGCAATACTTCGACGTTTCGAGCGAAGTCCATTCGTACGACGTCTGTAATATAAAAACAGCCATTGCAAACTAACGTCACATAATAGCAGCATTGACTGCTACTATTAACAATTATTGGATGATGCTGAGCAGGATATCCAGAATTATTTAGACCGAGGTCAATGTTATCTGCCGAAGCCGAAGGCTGAGGCAGATAACATTGACCGAGGTCTGAATAATTCTGGTATCCTGCGCAAGCCGAATTCAATAATTGTTAATGGTAGGTTACCTGTGGTAGGTTACCATTTTCTTTACGAATAAATATTTTCAGGGTGAAGCAAAATTCATCCGTGACACGGTACAGTGGAGCAGGAGGTATGCTCGCTATGGTTGGATTTTCACCAATTGCTATCGCCATTCCATGATTGAGATGGTAATCATTATGACAATGCATGAACCACCATCCTGGGTTATTTTGAAGAAGATGAATAACGACATAACCACCAACCGACCAACGCGAGAAACGCTAGTCAGTAGTCATCGCCCGGGAAAATTAAACAATTCAAAATTGCCACTATCGAAATTTTCCCGAGCGATGACTACCAAGACCAGCATTCCTTGCGAGCATCAAGCCTCGTGACGTCATCATGCATAAGGTCTATTGACTATTAAGCCCAGGTTAAGGCCTGGTCACACTGCACAACGATAACGATAACTTGTAAGCACGCGCTGATTGGTCAAAAATATTATGTTAGTGTCCACACTACAATGAAAACGATAAAATTATCGTTTATAAACGATAACGATTTTAAAATCGCTCACCCAATTTGTTTTCAATCGGACGATATATAACGATAAATTTTTTGACCAATCAGCGCGCGTATACAAGTATCGTATCGATATATATTATTAGCACTGATGAAGTATCGCATCGTTATCGTTGCAGGAATGGAATTACTGGGGGGGACTCGGGGGGGGGGGGG